TTTACAAATAACCCTTTAACATCCCTGGTGAAACAGCTCTAAAGTTGATTCAATGAATTAAATAATCATCAGTATCATGTGTTCCTTCTGGCAACAAATTTTCGAAAGTGTAACAGAAAATCTATGGAGGTACAAGAATAGGGCTTGGTTACCAATCTTGCCACAGCAAAATGATTAATTGATATACAAGTCTGGAACCCTGGAAGGCCTGTACAATCATTCAGAGTAACAACACAACAGTGTTGTGGCCTTGGCTCCTGAGTCATGATTCATGAGCCTGAAAGTCCTAGGGGCTTAATGATCCATCAACAATGACAACTCAATTAGACTAATCATAATCTTCGAAAGAACAAAATAGCGGTTATTGAATGCAGACAATCAATGGTTTCAGGTATACAGAGCATAGATCTATCCAATTACACTCTTTATCCTATAGTGCTTTCTACGGAAACCACATGTGCAGTTACATGCGGTTGGATAATTCAAAGGCTGAATAGTAGCAGCAATAGTTGTTGGGATATATTGCACATTTCAATGGAATGTGTTCAACGTAGGCGAAAACAATGTTTTATCAATTGTGATGTTTTATTTACCTTTATTTATGACATTTCTTCCACAAATCAGATATACTTCCAAGAAAAATCATTTTAATTAAACATATAACAAACCACAGATACAATTGGCAGTGATACTGAATCGTTCAAAACACATAAAGCCACCCATGGCAGCAAGTTGCAATGTGTAGACAAGAGGATACAGAGCACTGGAAAAAAATCAGCAAGTACCTAGCGTATCAATGCCTGATCTCTCAACTTTGTATCCCAAGAGGCAAAAATATGTTCACATGAGCAGCAAGAAATAAGAGGCACATTTAATTGAACAAACAGCATATTGTAGTGTATAAGAGTCATGAGCCTGAAAGTTGTAAAGGCTTATTAATGATCCATCAACAATGACAACTCAACAAAACTAATTCTAATCTTTGAAAGAACAAAATAGCAACTAGCAACTGAATGCAGCCAATCGATAGTTTCAGGTCCACAGAGCATACAGTTATTCAATTAGGACTTGTTTGGATGCACTCGTATCCACCTCAATCAACGTGTGTGGGAATGGATTGTGATGGAAATTAAACAAAGTTCCACCCCAATACACATGGATTGAGGTGAATACAAGTGTATCCAAACAAGGCCTTTACCATATTCACCCTATTCTGCTTTCTATGGAAATCACATGCGTGGTTATCCAAGTTGAATAGTAGTAGGAAGAGTTTTTGTGGGATATTTCTCACATGCCAATGGAATGTGTTCAAGGAAGGGCGGGTCTGGTGCAAGCGGTAGAGTCTTACCATATGTGACCGGAAGGTCCCATGTTCGAGTCGCGGTCTCCTCGCATTGCACAGGCGAGGGTAAGGCTTGCCACTACCACCCTTCCCCAGACCCCGTATAGAGCGGGAGCTCTCTGCACTGGGTACGCCCCAATGGAATGTGTTCAAGGTTGGCGAACAATAATGTTTCCACAAATCAGATACACTTCCAAGCAAAATCACCTTAAACATATCAGTAACCATGCTTCTGTTAGTGACACATACACCTTAAGCATATCAGTCATCCATAGCACATTGCAATGTGTAAACAAAAGGGTTCAGAGCACTGAAGCAAAAACATGATCACATGAGCACCAAGAGAAAAGAGGTACATTTAACTCAACAAACAACATATATGTAGAGTATTGAACAAAGATTCCATTTAAGAACCCAAGAGTTAAAGTGTATGTGTGATAAGATGTGATTGATTTCTCATCAGAATACAAGAGACAGCTTAAACAGCCATCAGTGAGAAAAGGACAACAAAATCTTTATTTGCTTTTGTCACACGGATTGATGCACTGCTTCTTCCACCAAGCTCACTGCAAGCTCTAGAAAGCCATTACCTAGCAGGCGTGGGAGGGGCATTGACGACATTCCTGCGCACTACCCTGGGCCCTCCATTGCTGCGGTTCTCTTTGGAGAGATTGCCATTGCCACCGTCGTCAGTGTCCATGACCAAATCCCGAAGCCCCATGCTCAAGTCCTTCTCTCTCATCTCCTTCTCCTTCTTCTTGGCCCTGGCTGTGGCAGCAGCGAGCGGCTCGAAGTGGTTGCCATAAATGTACTCTGCGGAGTATCCGTCCTCGTCGTCGAACAGCATGACGTGGCCATGCCATTCCCAGATGCGATACTCCCCGCTGGCGTCGTCGTGGAAGCCGACGCAGAGGTGGTGGTCGCCAACGGCCACGGACTGGCCCGAATTGGGCTTGAGCTTGTCCTCGGCCTCCCCGGCCAGCACCATCCGCACGATCTCCTTCTCCAGCTTCGCCTCCTCCCTCGCCAGCATCCGCCGCCGCCTCGCCTCCCCGGAGCCCTCCCCGCCAGCGAGCCCGCCGTCCTCATCCTCCTCGTCTTCGTCATCATCTGACGCCCCTGCGGCGGCGGATAGCGCGGCGAACTCGTTGAGGAGGAAGTCGTCAAGGTCCTGGGTGAGGAATGAGTTGGTGTCGAGGAAGGGCGGGCGGAGCTGGACGCGGCTCATGAGGTTCTGGAGGAAGAGCGCGTCCACCGGCGAAGCGGAGGTGGCGTGACCATTGCCCGCCGCAGCTGCGGTTGCTGCGGAGGTGGGGTGCGGCGCAGGAGACGGCGGCGGCGAGGCCATGGGCGTCGTGGTAGGGTTTTGGGTTTGGGGGTGGTGGCTGGTTGCGGAAGCGGGACGGCAGGTTGGGGATTGGAGATGGAGAATGACCACGCCAACTCGGGGCTGGACGGCGACGATGGCAGAAGCGATGAGATATTTTTCCTTTGGAGGAGTGAAGTGTTTGAACATGGGCCTCTTGCGTGGGCTGGGCTTGAGATGCTTTGACCTTAGACTTTTGGTAAGCATAGTAGTGGCCCATTTCAAAGTAAAAGAATGACTGGAACTGACAAAGTGACACCACCACCACCAGAAGCTGTAGGGTTTTCTTTTTTTTTAATAAAAAATCCTTCTCAAATAAAGTGTGCTTTATAAAAAATATTTTTATTTTCTAATTTGTATGTACTATACGAAGTTGTACTGGAATTAGTAAATAGAGTAGATAGATTCAACATACAACGATGTAGCACGTGCAGTGGCCACAAAATTGACTTGTTTTTGCTAAATTTCGCACCATTTCTCCGGCCCCATGTATCCTTCCATATTTTTACTCAAATCTAGAGACAAATTAGAGCCTATTTAACCACCTATGAATTATTATAATCTATATAGTGAATGAGATTATAAGAATATGAATCTATAGGATAATAATTTGGGTTGTTTAGGTGCCTCATCTACTAAGCGCACAGGACTTGATGGATTATGGATATAGGCATGTGATGTGAGTAGATTAATTTAGACATGATGATAACCGAACAGGAAACATAATCAGTGATTGTCAGGGGTGATCCATATGTAATCTATCCGGGTGCTATATAAGGCTTGGTGGGGAGCCCTTGATGACCATTCCATACTCGACACCGAACCCTCACATTCGACGCACAAGCAATACAACATCAACATATGCTACACATAGGACACCTGACCTAAACTAGTATAAACTTCTATGTCCCAAGTAAGTGCTACTCCTCTCATCTACTCTAAACTAGTATAAACTTCTCTGTCCCAAGTAAGTGCTGCTCCTCTCATCTACACTCTATGCGTGATACATTGAATTCATTGCAGTGGCAAAAAAACACTAACATCATAGATAAACCATGAGAAGTCTAGATCAACTAGTTGGGAGTAGAATGTGTGATTGTATACCCAACCACTCAAGTTTGTGTCTATTTAACTTGAATTTAGGTTCATAGTTTCTTTTTAATAATGAAAAGCTTCCCAATTCCTCCTAGATTGAATCTCTCTTTTAAAAAAACATTAGACATTCAAATCCTCCTAGATTGATTCTATCTTTTTTAACAGAAAACATTAGGCATGACACTAAATTCGTAATAAGTGAACTAGATGTGGGCAATACAGATCAAGAGACACAGACCTATATATCGGAGAAGTTTCCTGGTGGAAATGACGATGAGAGAAAAGAGATGTATACATATTATAAACACTTGAAGCTTTGTTGCTGTGCTTGGTCAGAACTGGCCGGTTCCTACCGCTGGGATTAATTTTAACCGTTGACTTAAAAAATGCCAATTCCATTGTTAGTAAGGATACTTTAGTATTTTGAGACCACCTAATTTTTACTGAGACCCAAAACGAAATCCCAGGGCTGGCTTAACCATAATGCATCGAGGAAATGTCGATGCCTTGAACGCAAGCGGGCGACGGTCAGTCGCCGCTGTGGATCCTCGTCGAGCTAGGATTGCAGTCTATGGCTTTGCGTCGTGTGGCTCGGCTGGTAGGTTCCGTCCCCACCATCGGCTCTTCAGATCGACGACGCTGGCACGTTGGCGGCAAGCGCTCGACGCCGAGGGAGTCGCCGCCACGTATCCTCGCTGGTCAGGGCGTCGGTCAGGGATTGATGGCCAGGTGCCTCCGCCTAAGGCCTCCTAGGGTTCTTTGATCTGCCGGCCTTTGAAAAGGGGGCCCAAATGCTACATGCAAAGAGCAAAATATCCTTTTTTAATGGAGTTCCTAGCTCACTAATTTAGTTCCAGGTAACAGGTTCCTGGTTCCTTCTAATGGGTTCCTCCCACTTTTAAACCAGTAGATCTGGACCATCAACAGTTCTAAAAAATTCCAAGCACTGGAAAAATCCACTTGAAATATATATGAATATAAAAAAACAAAACTCCGTAGAAAGTCAAACCATACTATATGAGCCGCCCCCTAGAGCATTAGAAGTATCCTCATACATTTCTAAGAAAAAAAACATGTACTCTGGAATTTCTAATGTTTCGAGGTTGACCTCTGGGGCGGCTTAATGTGTGTAGTAATAATGTAATAATAATAATTCAAAAATGGAACCGAGAAGATCAATCTATTCCACGTTCTTTCTTAACGTAAGAAGTCAACTACTGCTACGGGGAATTCGATGGAGAGCCCCAGCTTGGCGCGATCCTGCTCCTCCTCCAGCTCCGGCACGGCGTTAAGGTCCAGCACCAGCTCGGCCGGCGGTGCGGCCTTCTTGCCGCTGTCGTTTTCCGGGGCGAGTAGCCCGCTCCCGAGGCTGAGGCCAAGCCCGAGGCCGGGCGGGCTGTCGGCGTCCTCCTGATCGGCAGCCCGGTGGCGGCGCATGTGGCCGCCGAGCGCCTGGCCGATGGCGAACTCGAGCCCGCAGATGGAGCAGCCGTGCACCTTAGGCTTGGGCGGCTCGGCCGCCGCGGCGTCGACGCCGCCGTCCGCGAGGCGGGGCTTCTTGTGGCTGGCCCGGTGGCCGCCGAGCGCCTGGAAGGACGGGAACTGCCGGTTGCAAGTCTTGCACTCGAACACCCGCTCGGGCGCCGAGGAGGCCGCGTCTGTGGACGCCACGCCGGCGCCGTCGTAGTAGTGCTGGTGGTGGCCCGAGAAGAGCATCAGGAAGCGCGCGACGTCGGCACCGTCGGGCAGCCAGACCATCTCCTCGGCCTTCTGGCGTGACCTCTTGCCATAGTCCATAGATCGTTGCGCACGAATTGATCGTCAAAACGAACAGAGATCGATCGCCGAAGCTAGCTAGCTGCTAGCAGCAAAGACGAGAGGAGCGGAGGTTGGATATGGTGAGCCCGATCGATCGAGTGCTTTGCTTTCTCGGAAGCGTTAGTTTGAATGCACAAAAGATGAGGAACCTGCGTATTTATAGCTAGCTAGCTACTGAGATAAGTCTACACATGTACATGCTCCGCGCGACTTGCAACGTGGTGGCTTATGAGTCGTATTTTTTCAGCTAACGAATAATATTTTTCTGTCATAATAAATTAGTTAATAGTATTTTCAGTCATGACTTATCAGCCAAGCGAATATGTCATTGACTCTTATGGAGCTAGTTACTAAAAGAGAAAAATTCAACCGCGATCCTCTGACTTGGCAGCACGTGTCATTTAAGTCCCCATTCTTTAAAAATACAATTTTCGGGTCCCAAAACTCGTCCCGCGTGCCACCAGGGGTCCAAACGGGCCATGACCCGATCTACTTGCGTCCGTGGTGTTCCAGCGTGGTGCAGACGTGGATCCAGACCCAAAATCAGACGCACGCAGCCGGCCCCCTTTCCCCTGCTCACTCTCCTTTAGACTCGCCTACTCTGCTCCTTCTCGGTGGCCACGGTGGGTCACCGAGGCGTAGTTGGACGCCGGCTTCTCGGTGAAGGAGATCGAAGGAGAAGGGATTGGGTGGGTGTAGTAGGCGGCGGCAGGAAAGTATGTGGCTGGCGCAGAGGCTACGGCGATGGGTCCGAAGCTGCGAGAAAAGGGGGAGCCTCCGCCTTGTTATGGTAAGTTCTGGGATGACAAAAGTCTCCAATTTTTGGTGCCCGAATTGATGGTTTCGAAGTAACCGTGGTTGTTTGATTTGTAAAGTTTCGATTTTGAGGTCTAGGGTTTGACATTTAGGGTGCGATTCGATGAAAGTTGGGGTTTTGTTCATGGGGTAGGGTTAAGATGGATACTGTGAAATACACCGATGTCGTGTAAATTTACCTGATGTAGTGTAGTGAAATGTAGTGAAATACTGACCATGGCGTAGTACTGATGTAGTGTATTTGCACAATTGTGTTAACTGTAGGTAGGTAGCAACAATGAGTTCACTGTTGAAGTTCATCATGTTGGATTTTTCGTTGGTTCGGGAAATTTGAAGTCCTATGTGGATGACAGGATAAGCTGGTTTGATTACTGTGATGTTGATACTTGGTCCACTTTGTGGTTTGATGACATTGCTCAACAACTTGGCTATGAGAGCAGCACTGCCTTGAAGGTGCATTGGTTGCTGACAGGAAAGGAAATGCAAGATGGCTTGAGGCTTATGCTTACTGATGCAGATACAAATGATATGTGTTCAGTGGTTGATAGGGTGAAGACATTGGTTTTGTATTTTGACCAAGACGACATTGATGGATTTTCATGGGATGATGTGGTGCTTAACCCAGTGACAGAGCTTCCCAAAGTGATCAGCCCTGTGAAGGTGTAGCACATGGAGAAGAGACCAGAGAAATTGCCTACATTTTACAGTGATTTGAGGAAGGAGACAACCCCAGGTGCAGATTCAAACTATTTTGTGGACAGTGACAATGAGCTGGATGAAGGAGATGATGACTTATATGAGGAATACGTAGATGATGATGTGGATAAGGCTATGCAGATTGCAAAGGCAAAGAAGGCCAAAGGAAGCAGGTTAAAGGGGGACAAAGCGAAAACACCAACTGATGATCTAAGTGACCTATCCAGTGAAGGTGAAGAGCTTCAACTACCAGCTGATGAAAGAGAGGGCCAAGTCAATATGAGATTCAGTAGTTTCAGAAATAAAGACTTGAATAATCCAATGTTTAAAGTGGGCATGGTATTTGATTCAATGGAAATGGTTAGAGCTGCAATCAATGATTACAGCATGAAGAATAGGGTGGAAATTAAGATGCCGAGGAATGATAAGAGGAGAATCAAGGCACATTGTGCAGAAGGTTGCCTTTGCCTTTGGGAAATAGTTAGTCTGTGACTGTAGCATCTATGTCTGAGAAAGATGCTTGTACAGGTAGCACCATAACATTGTAGAATGGCACCAAAACATATGTACCAGTGCCACAGTTGCAACTCTGCAATGGCAAACTAAATGGTCTTTTATGGCTATGTGTTTTATGCCTCACTCTTACATATATGTGGTTAATTGCAATACATGTTTCATATCACTAGCTAATATATGTTTTATGGCCGTAGCTCATGGCTGCCTATATATGTTGAAGAGAAAACCAGAAAATATTAAGACATTCTCTTGGGCTGTAGAAAAAATTGTATGGAGACCCAGTGAGCCTTACCACATAAATTTGCATGGTAATAGAAGTACACGTAAAATGAGCAAATACTTCATACTTCAAGCAAATATATCCTGGAATAGCTCAAACACACGACAGAGGCCATATACATGCATTTCAGTATATGTTCAGATTGAGCTAATTGAATGCCGGCAACCATCACAAAAAAATGTAAATGTAGATGCAAGCAGCACCAATAGGCAATTTCATTGCACATAAGACAGTTTTACAATGCTGGCAACCATCTCATTACATTTCAAGTGTCCCTGAACATTTCAGAAGCATAACTATATCCATACCAGAGATCTCTCAGTACAAATAGCCAACAGAGGCCTGAAAGTTTCATATCTTCTTTCTTTCAATCAGATACGATTTCTCTGCATTTTCTTTCACTGCTCCATGATCCTTCCTCTTCTCTGCTGGCTCTTCTCTACATTACCTTGTTGAACACTGGCTGATATGGAGGGACATGGCCTTCCTCATGAGGTCGCGCCGCCGATGCCGGAGCCCACGACCACGCCGGCGCTTTCCTTGCACATCGCTCTGGAGCCCGCCACCTACATCACTCTGGAGCCGACGGCGAGCACGGCGGACGCGAGGGCCTTCCTGTCGGTGGCGAGACCGACGGACGTGAGGGACTTCCTGGCAACGGCGAGCCTCCGCGTCCTCCCCGGCCGCCGCGCCCGCCCCCGGCGTGGCCGTGCCTGCCTCCAGAGGCCGCGAGGCCGCCACCAGCCCGCCCAAGCGGAGAAGCTGAGAAGCGGGTGGATCCCTCTTGCCGTCGATGTGGCCCTCGCAGGAGAAGCCGCGGCTCTGGGCGGCGGACGCGGCTGGATGCGGCCGGCACCGCTGCTCCCGGCGACGAACACGATTGGGGAACTGTTCCGCCTCCGCGTCGTGACTGAAGGAAAGGGGGGCGGCTGCGTGAGTCTGTTTTTGGGCCGGAATCCACGTTCGCGCCACGCGCCACGCTGGAACGCCACGGAGGCAAGCAGGACCACGGGTGAATTTTTCTCTAATAAAAATGTCTAAGTCAGATTTGCCCTTTGCCTAGCTTGGCTAGCCTTTGATCCGTTAGTTGGTTTCTGATGAGGTGTGACGACGACTGACGATTGACGATACGCGCGGCGGCCGATGGAGGAAAGAGCTGAGCTGCTGCGGGGGCGGCGGCACAACGAAGCCGTTTTTGGTCGCGCATTGTGATCTCCAGAAGCCGTTCGAGGAGATTGTCTTGACCTGGCCGTGTCCATATGCATGGTTGCGAAGTATAACTTAGATCCTACGTCCTGCTAGTTACCAGTGTGTACGACTACTACAATAAATATGGTGACGTTTTCATTATCTTTCTTTCGATCGAGTTCCAACTGAGCTAACCACAGTAGCTAGCCTTTGTTTAATAGCTAACTGGCATGGCCGTTGGCAACCTTTGCAGGTAACCAACCGGCTGGGACGACTGGGACTCTCGAAGCCCTCTGAAGAGTAAGGACTCTGAACTCCTCCTATTCGGATCAGTCTGATGATCCTACCTTCAGGCTTGCAGGTTCCTTCCTGTTCCTTCAGTCCATATGTCATGCACTTGTCATCGCTGCGAGCATTGGGAGTGGCAAGTACAACGTGTCCTTTGAGTAATCCATATTCCATAACCCTGCAGCTAACCATGCTTCGATCGACTTAGCTAGATCAGACGCCTTCAGTCTTTCGGCGTTGAAAGGGCAGCTCTGAACTGAAGTCTCTCTGATAATGGGACTGCATGCGAAACACCGGTCCTTGGTAGCTGTTAGCAACCATAGGCTCCCGAAAACTTCAACGGCACATGCTTGCAATCAGAAATTCCCCGTTCCATGCATTTCCCCAACCAAACACAATTCTTCCGCGACGTGGTATGCCATCTATGCATGATTATTCATTAGCAATTGTGCAGCATGAACTCATGATTCATGCGTGTACCAGATCAGGAGGAAGTTGAATCTCTCTGGACACGAGAGGGGGGAGGGGGGGATTGTTTATAGCATTATTAGTACATATGATGCGATCATTGACGAGCACCATGTTCGTTTGGTCTGGTTTGACTTATAAGCCATGGCTAAATGTACTGTTGACTGGTTTGGTGCGAGAGAAAACAAACTGTTCGTTGGCTGATAAGCTATGGCTTATAAGTCAAATACGACCAAGCGAACAGGCTGAAGACATGGAATAAAATCATAATATATAGGGCCCTAATATATAAAGCTGCACCGAGCCTTCATCAACTTCGCTTCCAATTGAAACAACATGGTCACAACTTACTACTCAAAGGAGTAGAATATAAATATAAGCTATTTATTATTTCAGCTGTTAAAACCGAAAAGGAAAGTGCTTACATCCCAGCCCGTTGACATTGTTTGCAAGAATACTGTACCTGCTACATACACCAAAGGTCAAACAATACATAATGCTCTACTCGCCATGTATGTGTTGGTCCCGAGATCTCATGCACGGGTGAGCTGCACACACAGCACAAGCACCAGTGTTGGCCGAAACTCTGCAGAGGAGATAACAAAAGTAAACTCTCTCGCTTTACTAAGTTGCAGTGGGAACCTATATATACAACTCTACCCATCTAATTCCAGTGCACAGACATGCCAGGCTATCATGCTGCTACAGTGATTAGATGTGACAGCAGAGCTGGCTTTAGCGTCTGTCCCTGCCGTGGCTACAGTGTAGCAGCAGGAGAGCCTCGGCGTCTGCCTGCATGCGCGGTGCTCTTCCACACTACGCATACGCGTATGCTCTGTACGAGAGGTATAATAAAATTGTTGATAGAAGTTGAAGACTAAAGATTCGGTCCTTGACTGCAACAGGATGCATTCAGAGCAGCCACTTGATGTGGCTATAGATTCAGACGACTTTCTACAGAAGTACTGAATGTGGCGTGTGGACAGCGATAACAGCATTGCAGAAGATACATCAAGTCTTGAGTACGCACGCCATGACGCGTTTCTAACAGATTACTCTTCTGTGTGCTAAGGCCGAGCTGCTGACCTGACCGAGAAGGCAGTTGGGATTAGAGGAATATGCCAAAAATGACTCTAGTGTTTGACAAATTTCTTTTGAATAAAACCCCCACATCCTGTGCATTTCAAATAAACCCTCTTATACATGCATGATTGATTTTCATGCATGCAATGCTCTCTGGCTAAAATGATATCGACTTATATCTCTAGGTCCAAGAAAGCTAGTACACGATCGAAACAGATAGATGTCTGCGAAAGACAAAGGTATGATAATGAGAACCATATATATTTTCTTTTTCCTGCGAGTGTGGTAATAGATTGGTGTAAAACGTTTTATTCTGACTTCTGAGAGTGCGAAAGCGAAACAATCCATTTGATGAGGATTGAGACAAACGTAGGGGTCGCACTAGCAGCTTCTGTTTCTGCTTGTAACTAGCTACGCAGACCTGTTGACCACATGCACTGAACCCAGCGCTACGCCCGCGCGCAGCCGTGATCGAGCTCGTCATGCTGCGGTCTGCACACGCTCAAAACCTCCTCCAACGGCACAAGCTTGCTTGGACCAAGAGATTTCGTTTGTTCTGACTTCTGACTGGATTATTGGATGGCGAATTCTTTCTTTCTAAATGATCAAATTCACACAATAGATGGATCTATCGTCACCAGCTGGATTGTTGGGAGGACAGAAGGATCAATGAGGTTTCCATAGGGGCTCGCGATCGAACCGCACATCTACGGAACAAGAGGCTGCTAATGGCGGATTCATGCATCCGTGCCGAGATCGACAACTAATTAACGACGACGACGGTTTCACTGCGGCTCTGGGTCATCCATCTGAACATCTCTGAACCTCTCGCTTGCTTGCAGGATCAGGAATTCATCAGGATGTAGAGTAGTGACGGACTGACGGCACGTACGCTACTACGGGCGGTGCTGACGATAGGAAGCGACGGGCGGCGGCTGCGGTTAGCTTTTTCGTGACTGCTTCGTAATCATAGCAGCCAGACGACGCCGTACAGCTGCGGGCTGCGGCTGCCGTTAAGCCGTTCATTTTCACCACGGCTGGTCGGTGCTGGACGCAGGAAAGGATGATCGCCTTAGCTTTCGCCAAAAGCTGCAGCAGCCTGAGAGACGTTGTTGATTGATGAGGAGAGTCTCTATCTGACAGTCCTTGAACTGAATGATATCTCTTCGTTTTCATCTCACGAGTTCTGAATATATTCATTCCATGATCGACGTGTCTCACCGATCTAGCTACCATTTTCCAAGTCAGGTCAGCTTGCTAACTGCTACGCCAATCTGAAGCTATCTCACCATCTAACAGAATTCTTGCGCTTTTACTTTTTAGGCAACATTTTTCATCATGACGCATGCAGGACGTCAGAACAACTTATATATGTTTATTATTAAATCTTCATTATCATCAGTCCCCCCTCTGTCGGTTAACTGGGCCTTGAGGAACACGACACAAATATTCCTGTTGACCTTCTAGACCCAAGCTACATCGAAGTCAGCTGATCCAGCCGAGTAAACAATTGCTGCTTCCCAAGTCAAACATGCTCCCTTCCCCTAGAACGAAGTAGAGAGTGCATATAACAAGCCTAATTAAAAGAAATGCAACTGACATCAACTACTCCAGGTGTAGCTAAGCTTCATTTGGTTGGACCTAGTAGCACCGCAATCCAGTAGGAAGCTAGTTTAAGCGGCATTATTCAGAACCAACGTGCTGTGCAAAGTCAACAATGCTAGTTTGTGCGAGTTCAAACTGCAAGCAGCATCAGCACGTATCATAGAATTGTCTGGTTCATCGACAGCGACTGAAGCAGTAGAAGCGGGTGTCGAGACGCATGCGCGCATGCCCATCTCTGCTGGCAAGTGAAATCGTGCTGTCGTTGACATTTCGATAGTTCCGAAAAAAAATTCTTGCAAACCACTGTTTTTTTGTTACCAATTGCAAACTCTCCATGTTGGGCTGTTGATAATTTATTTTTCCATTGATAAAGTCCCTTTTGACATGATCGTACCTTTTTGCAATCATGACAAGTTAAACCACTTTTTTATAAGAAGAGAAAGGAATAACCAAACTCAACTTAACGATCCGAGTCTGACCTGACTTTCGAGTTTGGGCTATATTTGTTCGGCGAAAGAACCTTCAGAACTGGGCCTCAAATTAAGTTAGGGTTAGTCCCATGACGGTCCAACACATACATGGCCCATGGACGCAGTCACCCACACGCCCCAGATCCCAGAGGCCCAGACGCCAGGCTCTCACTCTACGGTCTACGCTCCCCACACCACTGCTTAATTCAAATTTCTCCTCAACGGAAAATCATCTCGGCCTCCCTACTCCGCTTTCCCCAATCCACCCCCTTCCGAGGAGCGGCGAATCCGCCCCAGAACCTCGCGATTTCCCTCAAATCAATCCTCGGATCAGAGCGTCGCGGGTGTCGCCGGCGGCATGGCGCAGACGCCGAACCCCAGCAGGAGGTCGTGGGTCGGCCCGGCGCCGATGCCATTCCTCACGCCGCGGCCGGAGCGGCGACACCTTGAGATGAGGTGGGCGGATGGAGTGTCCCAAAGCGCTGCTCGCCGTAGCGGCGTCGGCGCTGTTGCCGGCAACGGTGGAAGCGGGGATGGATGCGAGAGGGATCGGGAGGTGAACGTTCAGGTCGTGCTCCGGTGCAGGTGAGAATTGTCTGTCTCCTAAAAATTTCTGGCCCCGACACTGTCCATATGAGTCTATGAATTGTGGTTCAGTGGCAAATTTGTGAAGCCCAACGTTTACACTGGCAAGAATCCAATTTTAAATAATATTTCATCACAACTGAATCATTTAAAAAAATAATTAGGATTGTAGCATCGGGATACAATGAAATTCGATGTAGGATCGTAAGGAGGCTTTAGTTTCTATTGATATACTATTAAATTTAGGATTTTGGATACATGGTGGAATTAATATCGTTTTGTTTGGTAGGATCATAGTATCGTAAGATTCTACAATACGGATCGGGATCCTGTCAGCAGCGGCGGGCCCAGGATTTGAGGGCTGGGTATTCAAACTATACATGGGTACTATTTTTTTTGACAACCAAATGGCTAATATTCGGCATGTATAATGCCATATAGTTAAAATTGCATAATATATAGTTTAAGAATTGAGCAAAATTTCCATATTCAAGAATCTGAGCATAAATTGAAATTGTTTAACATAAAAAGGTACCAATAGTTCAACATAGCAAAGTGGCAACATATGGAATGGCAACATATAGAATTGACAACCAAATGACAATAAAACTTACAAATTACAAGACAACTTTTCGATCCTTCGTGCTTTGAAAACGGTTGATGATGTTCATCCTTTGCTTGCAAGAAGAATTCCCTTCCAATGAATGTAACCAAGCCATCATTCAAGTAATCTTGCCCCATCTTATATCTCAGCTTACTTTTTGATATAGTTCATGGTAGAAAAGATACTTTCAACACCGGCTGTTGCAACTGGGAGAACTAGCACCAATTTGAGAAGTTTGTAAACAATGTTGAACATATCAACCTTGTCCTTTTTAACAAGCATCATGGACAACTCTGCTAGACCTCTCAAATTTGTGAAGCTTTCATCATTTTCTTTTCATACTTAAGACCTAAAATTAAAACAAGAGACTAGACTAAGGCCCTGTTTGTTTCCGCGTATTCCCGCGTTCGCGTTGCGAGTGAGCGAGGAAAGCGAGATAATCCCGCCGAACGCCCCGCGACCAACGCGCGACAGGGAATCGCCCGCGGCATGGAACGCGCGAAACTTAACTACGACCCGCGATTCGCAAAACGTAGCCTCCGAGCCGCGTTCGCTCAAACGCGAAGGCGCGATACGGTGTCGCGGAAACAAACAGGGCCTAAGTAGTTTGAGGACAAATTGGCGAATTGCTATCCCTAAAACTTCGTGAGGAGTGAATCTAAACTTACAGGTCGGAGGTCGCTGCCTGGTGCCTGGTGCCTGGTGCCGGCGGCCGGCCTGCTTGCTGCCTGCTAGCTGCTACTCGCATGCTGCCGCGCCGCGCCTCCTGCCTCCTTGCCGTCGCACGCCGCACGAGGGCACGAACCGATCAACCGAGGCCCTAAGGGTTTCTTTTGCCAGAACACGCCGCGTGAACCGAGTCGATTCAACTTTCTCCATGCGATTGCGGGAGCAGCGGCCAGCGGGACAGGAGGGCGACCTGGAGCACCGAGCGTGCATCCTTGGGCCTCAGCTAGACAAAATGGGCCGCAGGGCAGCACTGGGCCTCGGATGGGAAACGAAAACAATTAGAAATTGGGCTGAATTGATTGTACAGGTAGGAAGTTCACTGTATTTTTCTCTTTCTCATATACAGACTTGTATATACATTATATATATGAAAATTTTTGCCAAAAAATTTGGGTATTCAACTGAATACCATTGAATACATGTGGGCCCGCCCCTGCCTGTCAGTGACAACCTTGAAGAGTACCCGGTGCTTCATTGCTGCTATGAGAAAACCTTTTGCTACCATCGCGTAATTGTGCCTGACTGTGGCTACCACTGCTGGCACATTTGTCTGTCTTGTAGGCCACTGAGTGAGGAGGAGCAGAGAGCGAATGTGCAGAGCGCCATCTCTTGTAATGACCTGAAGAGGGAGGTCACAGTTCTGCACAGCCTCTTCAAGCAATTAGACAAGACGTTTACCTTCGACAAGGTAAAGCCTCTTTGGACCTGTGTGTGTGCGCGTGAGCGTGTTTATCTTTTTCTATATGATTGTAGAGATTTAACTTCTGGTTCTAAAAGATGCTGTATTATGATTCATATTGCTTACCACCATTGTTCTTGGATATGTGGTTGTTGTTTTGTCCTAGGTATTTGGACCAAAATCTCAGCAAAGGTCGATATATGACCATGCTGTTGCACCAATAGTGACTGATGTCCTCGAAGGCTATAACTGCACTGTCTTCGCCTTTGGGCAGACTGGAACCGGAAAGACATATACCATGGAGGGAGAGATGAGACTGAAGGTACCCTGAATATATGGACATCATCTATGATGAAGACAGGAAGTTCCTTGTAACTGCTGAACAATTTGTCTTACCTAATATGTTAGGTCAGTGAACTACCAGATACTGCTGGTGTCATCCCTAGAGCAGTGCGCCATATATTTGATATGCTTGAAGCACGGAAGGCTGATTATAGCATGAAGGTAACCTTCTTAGAGCTCTATAATGAAGATATAACAGATCTATTATCTTTGGAGGGCCAAAGCAGATTCCCTGAAGGTAGACAAAAGAGGCCTATAACTCTTATGGAAGATGGCAAAGGTGGCGCCGTCATAAGAGGACTTGAAGAGATTGTTGTCTACAGTCCTAGTGAAATATACAGACTTCTGGAACACGGGTCAGCTAGGAGACGCACTGCTGACACTGCACTAAATAAGCAAAGCAGGTTCTTGATCATTCCGTTTCTTTCTTATTTTGGTACAGCTGTCGGGGGCTAAGCACTCTGCATTCTGTTCTTGCAGCCGATCACATGCTGTTTTTTCTATAAACATCCATGTCAAAGAAACAACAGTAGGAAATGAGGAGCTCATGAAGTATGGGAGGTTGAACCTTGTAGACTTGGCAGGATCAGAGAATATTGCTCGATCAGGGGCAAGAGAGGTACTTTTTTTATATTGCCATTTGCCACCTATTAGCAATAGCATTACCTGTTAGTTTGTTTACCCTATCTTCTCCAGTTGGGTAATTTGGTTTAATCGATGTATCCATCTTGTCTACTTTTATTGAATCATTTGGTCATGGTACATCATGTGTAGAAAATGGTAGAAGTACATGATTATATCTTGGTGTACGTATATATATTATCATAAAGATAGCTATATGGAATAATGAAATATCAACTAAATACCATCACAGACTGGCATAAGCGGTCATACTCTGCAAGGATTATGGGTGGGGTGGGGGGGGGGTCTCAGCTAATTGTCAACAACACATTGGCTGATGTTTTCCAACTCGGTGGTCATTGCGATGTTCAGGGGTTATGGGGCACAAGGCCATTGAAGGAATCAATTCAGTCAATTCAGTTCAGTAATAGTACTGCATATTCTAGGAATAGCCATCTGTAGTTAGAACCTTATGTTGCCCATGAAATGGAGCATTTCTTTTTTTTTCTGGTGATCAAGATCTTTGTTATCATACGCTGAATAAAATTATCTGTATACACAATCTCACTGTGGCTCTATATTATCATCCCAAAATATGCTCTTTCGGCAAGACAGTCCTGTTTGAAGTCATGATTTCGCATGCTGATAGGGTAGAGCAAGAGAAGCTGGAGAGATGAATAAGAGCCTATTAACTCTGGGACGTGTCATCACTGCGCTTGTGGAGCATTCAGTTCATGTGCCATACAGGTTATACACTGTACTTAGTTTTGATATGTAAGCTGTTCATTTTGTGCACAGGCAGTAATGCATACTCATATACTTTTATCAGGGATAGTAAACTCACTAGACTGCTAAGAGAATCATTAGGAGGCAAAGCCAAAACATGCATCATAGCAACAGTGTCTCCATCTGTCCATTTCCTGGAGGAAACACTGGTCACACTTGATTACGCTTCTCAAGCAAAAAGCATAAGAACCAGAACATGGTGTGAGCCTTTAAAATCTTGCATTCAGATCAAAGGGACCACATCCTCCATTTTTAGCTGAGGTATTTTTTTTTTGCGAAATATGAGGCATGCTCGGCACTTTCCTTGAAATTAGGCAAAAAGCCGATGTGAAACTAGTTTGCAATTGGAAATTCAAAGGATCGAGGAGCGGAGGTGAAACTTCTATTCATCCATGGAGTTTGAAACTTTCAATTTTCTCAAAACGCTTGTTAGAAACTTAACAACTATTGCAGGCAAATAAAAAAACATGTGAATCTGTTATGCTCAAGGACCTCTACCAAGAAATGGAAAGAATGAAACAAGGTTCTCTGTTTCTCTCTATATCTTGCTGCATTGCTGACATTAGCATAGTATCTCATTAGTATATCGTCACTTGTCAGATGTCAAAGCTGCAAGGGAAAAGAATGGAATCTACATCCCTCATGAAAGGTTGGTCCTAGACGAGGCAGAAAGAAAGGTATAAGTACGAGTGTACAACACCTCCATCACCAAAACCTTCAGAATTTCATTAAATATAGTTCTTATGTGACTTCTGTTTATTGATGTTTATTATTCTTAATCCGTTAATTGCATTGGCTATTTATTGCAGAAAATGAAGGGAAAATTAGAAAATTTGGAGCTCAGTCTTGAAAAGCAGATCAAAGTATATGCATATCCCCAAATCTGATTTAGCTGTATTTTTTTTCAATGACTTCAAAGTTGAACTGACTCTTATACTTCTGGTGATCTGGTAGGAAGTTGGAAAATTCAAAGGCTTGTACCAAGGAGAGCAGGAATGCCGCTTGGACTTGGAAAGTCAGAACAAAGATTTAAAGGTAAAGCACTTTGGATAACTTTCTTTTCATATTTTTTCTGAATAACACATACTTCCTTTTCATTTATTTGGATTTATTAGGGTCCTCACATTTTGTACATATCCTTATTTAGGTAAATCTTGAAACCTGGAAGAGAAAGTTTCTAGATCTTCAAGAAGTTCATTGCAGAGCTAACACGTCGCTAAGGGAGAAGGACTTCATTATCTCAGATTTACTTCATTCTGGTATTTCTTTTATCATAAGTAACTAAAGTAATTTCTAACTCAAAGAGTTTAATATATGTAAAACTCTTCCATCCATGGTCAATTGTTTTGTTGTTATCCATTATATTGTATAGAACACTTAATTCTGGAACGTGCAAAGGATTTGCGCAATACCTTGGAGAATGCATCCAGAGATACCACTGTACTTCTGAGTAAACTAGGTAATATATCTACTATGACTTGATTTAATCCAGTTTATCTTTCTTTCTACTGACTATGCATGTCTTTCACAATTATTTATAGAAAGGCAATCAAAAACTGAAGCGGAAAACAAAGGCTTGCTATCTGGTTTTTGGGCTGAATTGGATCATAGTCTTGGAGTTCTGCATGCTACAGTCATTGGATCGGTTTGTGAACAGAGTAAAATTTTGGAGTCTATGAATGAACAAACAAAGTTGTACTTTTCAGCCAGAAATGAGGTGCCACTCGCCCACTCTTGAAATGCTATACTTTTATTATTGCTATCCCTACTAGCACACTAAAATAGCTACAACATACAATTGCTTCCAGTCGGAAAACCAATTGGAGAGAAGAATTGCAAGAGTCAAAGATATGTATGTCTCTGGGGTTCAATGCATGAAGGAGCTCGCTCATACCATGAGACAGCAATCTATCATAGATTCCGAGCAGATGAGGCAGAACATATCTACTAATGCAATTGTTGTTGACAATGTATGGAATAACAGACTTTTGTTTGAATACAATCTTCTTTTTTGCGAGGATTGTTTGAATACAATCTAATGCAGAAAAACAGAGTGTTGAGTGCAATCTAATTATTCTCTGCACATGAACACTGCAGTTTCTAGCAATGATGGTTTCGGAAGCTGAGCAAGTTCTAAACGATGTTCTGAAATCTACTTCGGAGCTCAAGGAACTATTAGCCTTTTCTGCAAAACTACAAAATTCTGTATGTCTCCTTGATTTTGTTAGTTCATGTGCCTGTATGGAACATATTTAGCTAGACGCGTCAACTCACACGTGTGATTTCTTTTAAAGGGATTGAAAAGGAGTCTTACTTCTGCACAAGCCATGTCAAAGACATCAATTGATTTCTTTAAAGATATCAGGATACATGTGTCTCGGCTCATCACTCTTATGGAACAGAATCAAATGGAAAGGTCCTCCAACCTTGTTAAATTCGAGAATGAATTTAAGGTAGTTGATTTTGATATATGTGCTATACATTTCATTTATGAACAAACTCTCTGATGGCTCGCCACCTTTTGACAGGAAACTTGTGTTAAAGACGAGCAAGCTGCTCTGAATAAGATTGCTGCAATTTTATCAGAGTTGACTGCCAAGAAAACTACAATGGTCAGATTATATATTGCATGAGCAAATAAAATGGTCTTAGTATGACTTCAGCTTTAACTGATGTATCTTTTAGCAGGTTTCATCATATATCGGACAGCTGAATGAGAGATACAGTGAAGAGCAGAAGCACCAGAAATTGGAGATGTCCAACCTACAACAGGTTTCAGATAATGGCAAAAATGCGTGTGTCACTCATGTTGGAGTTATAGAGAGCCAGTTCCACGAGGATATGTCATCGCAAGCTAAATTAAATGATCAAATGGAAGGCATCTTGCAGCAATGGTACCGATCTCACTTTACCTCAAACAACGTGCAGATTGAATCTGCCATTCATTCTTGAAGTACTTCTATTTCCATGATTTGTTTATGCTTAAGAGGCACTGTCCATTGCAGCTTGAAGAAAGGTAACCATTCTGTATCTTACTGGTCACATGCACAATCATCTTTGCATGATCTTGGTAAGAGCTCAATCATGGAGGCTGACGATTTTATCGAGTAAGTTGTAATCATGTTTAGTAAAGTTATTATCATTGTTGACACTCTGAGCAGGGCTTCCAAGATGTCTTATCCGTTTCTTGTATGCAGGGAAAGGAGAAACAAAAATGAAAATATGTTCCAGGAAAGGCTTCTGCTTTCTTCACAGAATGATGCAGAGTTTCATGCCATTACATCTGATGTGTTGACTGCTTCCAAGAGTACGTATTTAACTTTGTGATCAATTTATTTTCAAAAGGAATGCATTTTCCTTATGTTTTCTTTGCTCATTTTCAGATTCCCTCTTACTGGATCATGAAACTAGCAAGATGATAGAAACCAACTCTACCACTTTCTCGAGTCATCTGGAATTCCTGAATGAAAAACACAGTGAAGGCGCAGAATCTATAAGAAACCTGACGAGTAACTGTCTTGAGAAGGACTACATGGTAAGCTCATCTGTTTAGACTAGAAATGAAAAGGCAAAGTGTAAGGATATATAAGATAATACAACAAAGCTAAACAACACTGTACTAATGTTGTCTGGCTGTAAAGTGGCTATTTCCTCATTGCAACAGAATTATATCACCTTTATGTGCATGCTTAAGTGATGAAGTGAATATTGTTCAATGTAAACCACCTTTGTGTCACTATCATTTGATTATTTGTTATATCCATTGACCTAGCTATTGTTCACCCATCAGGCTAATAGTCCGGTTCGAAACCATCCAAGGGAACTACTGACCAGTGCAAACAGCTTGGAATCAATTGACAAACTAAGAGCTTCTCTGCCAGATCTGGTGGCAAAGTTCAGGTTCGAGAACAAGTTGGATGAAATGGACAAGGGGAAGCAATGCTCCGATCAAAGGACACGCACTCCAAGAAGTCCTCTAACGCCTGTCAATCAGTGAAGAATGTGTCAAATTCTGGGATGCTCAAACGTTGTAAAGATGGCAAGATATCTTGCCGATCTGTCACCACCTTAATTTAGTGTGCTCAGATGTTAGGATGCTGCACGCAAAGATTCTGATTATTGTTAGTTAAGAAGGCCAAAAAAAATCGTTTTCTCTTTGTACTGTGTAAAATCAACTTAATATTCTCAGTGTTGTGCTTTCCATTTCTGATCAATCCTGTGAGGAAAGTAGCATGAAATGTTGAATTTCTTTCTCATTCCTGAATGTGTACATGGTAAGTCCAAAACCATAACAAGTATTAAAAGATTTGCTAACATGGTATGTATCTCGAGAATCCACCTGATACTTTTGTACCGTGCTTTCCATTTTCTAACGCGAAATGTTGCAGTACTGGGCCCTTCCGTTGGTTCAGGCTATCTGGGCAGATGATCACATGAGGAAAGCACAGAGAAGAGAATGATATGCGTTCTCATAAATCATCTTTGGAAAGAGAAGGGTGAGGGAAAGGATAAGATGCAGGAAAACACAGAGGAGTAGGGTCTCGTGAGGGAAGATAACGTTTCATCGATCAGCGATGCAGAGGTCTGTTCCTCTCTTCACTTGTTCCAGCATTTTTCCTCTTTTTCTCTTGAGAAATAAAAACTGCTTTCTGTGCACTCTGTTCTTCAAAATCGTGTTATGAACTGTTAGAGATGCAACCTAGATATATTGTACATTGCTTGCGGCAGTTGACAACAATATTTCGGATATGATCATTCTTTCTAGATGTCTGCTCTTCGTAGAGGCATTGTGTATCTTTTTTAGTGTTGTAAAATTTATCTAGTTAGATCAATGGATGTATCTTTGGCTAACTAACTGCAAGCTTTTTCAGTGGTATGTTACCATATTGTCAAAATTCCTAATGGATTCAGGTTATAAGAAACGTACGAATTTGACATTTGCAAAAGTATATCTTGCACATGACCACACGAATCTAACTAAATGTTCATGCTACTAACATTACTGCAATTAAACATAGCAATGCCATTAGCAGGGTTTTTGGTCTACTTATTAATAGCTTTGCCCTTGCTCGTTCTGTTGGCAGAGTTTTGGAGGAAGCAACTTGGCTGGGCCAGATTGGAGCGGCAAAAAATCCTCTCCCTGTCTGCAGAGGCTGATGATGCAATCTGGCATCTGGCCTCACTGGCACGGAGGAGGATGCAAGAAAGGGACGAGGCCAGGAACCAAGCGAGGATGCTGCTATTGGACCTCCAGGCAAGAAACGCCCGGGTGATGGCGCTTCCCGGGACATCGTGCTCCAGAGTTGCACGACCGCCTGATGCGTTCGCCGCCACCGGCTACGAGCACAACCAGGCCCTTGCTCCTACCGCGTTCAGGCCTCTGGGAAGTAGCAGTACGATGATGCAGGGGCAGCGTGCCCGTGCAGGAACTGGCTACCGCGTTGCGTCGTCCAGCGGCTTCGGCCACAGGAGCATCGGTTCGTCTCTGGACGCCTACGCTGTTCTGCCGTCTCTACATGGCTTCGCTTCCTCGAGCCAGGATCACTTTGATCCTGACATGTTCCTGGTGGACGTTGCAGAATCGCCGCAAGATCTCGTTCCGGTTCCGGCCACTGCAGACTCCAGCCTGGGGAGAAGCTCCGGCTCCGGCACTTATGGTCATATATAGGCGAGCAGAAGGCCTTGCAGTGGAAAAGTAAATCAGCAGCTCAAGCTGCTGCACATGCTCCCTAGATCCTAGGCCGGTGCCCTGTCAGTTGCTCGCAGGATCAAAAGTTTGAACAAGAGGTTATTAGTACTTGCACGGTAAAACTTATAAGTTTGTTCATGTGTTGTGGATTTGAATGGCGTCTAGTTTTTTTTTTCACTACAGCCTTTAAACGTTCATCAGGTTAAACTGTTTTCACCTATCCAGGGGTTTCAGGGCCTCCTGAACAGACTGCAACTGAAGTATAGGACAGGATGTTTGTTTTTTCAGAGTAGAAAACTTTGTGCCGTGTTCAGAGTTCGGATCAGAATCTGGGTACCAAGCTGGACGGGCTCCAAAGCTGGGTGGTTGCATGACCGGATACGTGTGGTGGCGGCAAGCTTCTTTGTTAATGTCCTTAAACTTCCATGGAGATGGAGTATGAAGTACTTTTGGGACACCTTACTGGATGCTGATCTTGAGAGCGATGCACTGTACATCACTGGCTCTCTTCCTGATAGCCGAGAGCTTGACCGCATTGACAACCCTCAGGTGCGCCGTGTGTGCAACTGTTAACTCTGAATGAAATGCAGCAATTCAGTGATCAGAAATAGAACTGAATACCATTTAAAAAATAGTACTGAATACTGATGCATTTTCATGTTCAATCCGATTCTCCAATGCCGGTTTGAAGGCTACAAGCTCGATCTGCATGGGGAGTATGTGCGACGGTGGGTTCCTGAACTTGCAAGGCTGCCGACAGAATGGATACACCACCGACCCATTGGATGCACCCGTTTCCGTGATGCAAGCTGCAGGAATTGAGTTGGGCTCCAACTATCCCCTCCCCATTGTTGAGCTAGACGCAGCCAAACTCAGGCTGCAAGAAGCTCTGTCAGAAATGTGGCAGCTGGAGGCAGCATCAAGGGCCTCAATGAACAATGGAATGGAGGAAGGCCTCGGCGACTCGTCAGAGGTTCCACCGATTGAGTTTCCTCAAGAATTACACATGGAAATTGATCGGCAGACAGTCCAGGCGACGACCAATGTCCCGGTACTAGGAGGCACGAGGATCAGATGGTGCCTACCATGATGGCTTCACTGAACAGAGCTGAAACAGAAGTTTCTGCTAATCTGGGGAACGGCGAGGACAGCAGGGCAGAGGTTCCGTCCCAAGCACATTTCGGTCCTCGAGCTGAGAAGGAAGAAACGATCCAGAACACTGAAGACAACGCTTTTGCAACCAACGGCGTTCACCAGCCTAACATCTTTGAGCAGCCTCAGCATCGTAGGCGAGATGTTCTTGCTCCATCAGTATCAGAGGCTTCGAGTAGTTGGACAGGTAGAGAAGAAAAGGAGACGCACCTCTCTCACAACGGTCAATCCAAACGCGAGCCGCAACCCTAACCCTAGCAACCGTGAGTGATGGCGCGCCCAAGGGTTAAGAAGCGTACGGCGCCCCAGGTGGACGCCACTGATTCGGTCGAGCCGGAGGCCGCCGCCGGTGCTTTGAGCAAGCCGGAGGCGGCGGCGACGGAGCCGGCAACTCGGGGGCGGGGGAAGCGCGTCACGGCGCCGCTCAAGCCCAGGCCCGAGACGGAGTACTTCCCAGAGAAAAGAAATCTGGTGAGTTGGTTTTCTAGGATGGCCTGGCTGTTAGGTTTTTGGTATCCCCGAGTAGTCGTTTGGTCCTGATCTAATTAGCTCGCGGGCTATAACAACCTAAAAATTCACACACCAAAAGTCTTAACTTCAAAAAAATTTCTTCAAAAACCCCATGTGATGAAGAGTGATATTTGTAGAAGCTAACCCTAAGTGTTGCATTAGTCGTAATCTAACTAAACCTACATGACTTGCACAAGTATCTCACCTCATCACCTTAAATTTATTTTACCACATAGCATACATCAAGTTGCATTATATTCAACATGGTGATTTGGATTTTATTTGAGTTTGTGTTGATTAATAAAAGCTAACAAATATTTGTTTATAAATAAATGTACTAACATGGGATTAATGTCCCAACATATACTATGACCGATGTTTATCACCATGGGACATTATACCAAAGAAGAAATATGCCACTTTGATTTATATACATGAAAGAAGTGTAACATAATACAAAAAGAAATAGAAAAAGAAAAGGAAATAGGACGGAGGGAAACTGAGCCAGCCCAACCCAACCGGCCCAACAAGCCACCAGACCGGCCCACGATCACGGCCCGCGTAGGGACACGTCATGTGTGATGTTCCTTTCCCCGCAGCGGATGACAAGTGGGACCGACTTGTCATCCCTTCCACCGCCCCCCCCTCGGCCCCTGTTTCGGTCACTGGACGGCACAGCACGCGCGCAACGCGCACTCCCCTGTCGACCGATTCCACCCCCTAGCCATCCGACGACCTCGCGCACGCCAGCACAGCACTCGTGAGACCCACGAGTCACGCGAATTGCATGACCCAGCCACGCGCGCCAACGGCCACGACAGAGCACATGCCGCTGCCGCACCCCTGCTCCCCGCCCTGCCTTGGCCGTGAAGGCAAATTGGTGCCTGCCGCTGACCTCTAGAGCCACCCGAGGATCGACAGCGACCGCTCAAGCGTCCTGCATCCGCCTGATCGCCCCGACACCTTGATCACTGTCTGCTGCGCATAGTGTTCACTAGCCGCCTATAAAACTACACCTCGGTGCCCTAGGGTTCCCATCAACCCCGCCGCCGCTGGTGGCACTCCAGAACACCACACCAAGAACGGTAGAAGGGTGGAGGAAACAAGAAGGAAGGAAGGGGAGGAACGGAGAAGGAGGAGCGGAACCGGACCTCGCCGGAGCCAGGAGCGCTGCCCCGATCAGCTACAGCGACGTAGCTGCTCGGCACGGCACTGCATCGCCTCATCATGGCCTCGCCTCGCCACCGCACCGCCATCCTACCGTCACGAACCCTACGGTGAGCCATGTCGTTTGCCGCTCGCCACGCTAGCCATACTCGCCATGAACGCCACCGCGTTCCCACACCTAGGGGACGCAGAGGCGGAGCATTCCCGCTCCTGGACACGCTGCACACGCACCGCACATGCACAAGCCCAAGGCCTGGCCTCACCGACCCCTAGCGGCTCGGGAACACCGGCACGACCACCCTGCACGCCATGCCCGCAGACCACCATGGCTTCATTCCGTTTCGACCCCCAGAGGCCCGCATAGGTAGCAACCTCACCCTTTAGAGCTTCGCCTTGCCGTAGGACGCCTCGCGCACAAGAAGATGGAGGAATAGGAGCTCCGGATGCCTCAGTCAACCCCGCCTCGTCGGCGCGGACGCGCTCTAGAGCGTCGTCGTGTCGCGAGAGTCCCCGCCATCTCCGGCCGCCCCGTGACGCGAGGATCGACCGTAGAGCTTCGCCTTGACCTTGTACACCAAGCCGCCTCGAAGATGGGGCGAGAAACCCCGCCTTGCCCTAGTTCGCGCCATCGTAGCCATGTCGGACCACCGTCGGAGCTCCGCCGCACACCTCGTCGCGGTGCGGACTCCGTTGCGCCCTTGATCGTTGTTGATCAAGTCCTTTGGCTCGCCCTGGACCCTGACTTGGGGAAGGAAACCTTCCTTGGCTCTAATTGATGCCGTAGCCCCTGCACCACCGACCACCGTCGCTGCTAGGCCTCCACTAGCCGGCTTCGCCCGAGCCCTTGGCGCCACCCCGGACATCCCTGCCCTGGCCGCTGTATCACGTGGAAGCCGTTTGAGCCCCATCGAGCCCTTGCCGAAGTCTCGGTGCACAGCGTCGCCGCGACCGTGTCTACCGTGCCGCCGTTCCACGCACACCGGCCTCCCGGAGCGATGTGATCCCGCTGCGACCCCGCTAACGCGCTCGTGATGGCCCCGCAATTCCGTAGTCACCCTCGCAGCCCAACCGAGCCACCGGAGCGCGCCGCGTGCGAGCTCGCCGTCGACGAGAGCACTGCCACGGGAGAAACAGAGGAGAAAGGGGTAAGGAGAAGTAGTAGCCGCGTTGTGCACACGTTCCACCGTGAGCCGTGAGAAACAGGGAGAAGATGGACTTGGTCCACGATGAACCATGCCGTCGTCCATAGACCCATTGTGGATAGTCCACCATGGACCATCATACTGTGCCGAGCCCGTGGACAAAACCCAATGGGTATCCAGCAGCCGACGTGGCGCAACCAGAGATTGACACGTGTTGGGCCAAGCCCGACCCGAATCCAAGCCTATATCCAGGCCCAACCGACCCAGTTTGGATCCGGCCTGGTTGACCGTTGACCGGGCCCATAAGTCAGCGACACAGAGCCGCTGGACCTGCTTGTCAGTGGGTGACGTTATGCTGACGTCATGCGGGTCCCACCTGTCAGTGACAAACACAGCCGAGGTGACATCATGATGATGTCACGATGACGTCAGCAACTCTGGACCCACCTGTCAGTACCAGAACCGAGACGATGATGTCATCCTAACGTCATACTGATGTCAGCATGCCAAATGGACCAACAGGAGCATGACACGTGTCAGCACGATATTAATTCAGCCTTTTCCCATTTTCAGAAATGCTTGAAACTTTGGAAATTCATAACTAATTCATACGAACTCAGAAAAATACAAGACCAGGACCAAAATTCATCTAAAATCGAGCTCTACGCAATGAACCCATGTTTGAGTGCATTTTGCTCTTTTGATTTTTCATTGCTTTTTGTGCTATTCTATAGACGTCGGTAACGCGACTATAATGCGATCGTTTGCAGACTCGGAGGAGAACCAGACGGACGAGGATCGAGAGTACCGTGAGGAGTACAAAGACAACTACACTGAAGGTGCCACATCCCACCCAACCTCGTAGCACCTATTACGCATGGCTAATATAGAACTGCTATTACTTTACTTTATTGTTATATTCACACTATGATAGGACTTGCATGGTAGTATGCTTACTTGATGGCCTTTACCTTGACGCAACCTTACCCCTGCTTACCCTGCTATTAGGCTAGACACACGCTTACTGTTATATTTCATTGCTTAATACTTCTACTACGCTTGTACTACATTGATGCGTGGTGGAAACTGGTGTTATCTGGACTATGGGGAGAGTGCTGCATGTGTGACTTGGGTGTGTGGAGGGTGAGGGTTGTGTCGACCAAGTTGGAATATACGACGAGCCTGGGGCAAGTCTTGCCGCGGGGTGCTACCTGGGCACCCCTGGAAATTGATACCTGTGGTGGGTAAATGGTATATGAGGTGGTCCTGGGTGTGAACCTGTGATGGGAGGAGCCCGGGGTGGAGGTGCTATGGTGGCACGATAAATGGAAACCCTGGTGAAGACATTCTGGCTTGGTCATCCCTAAGGACTTACTAGTACTCAGATTCACCGGGAAGCCTTACATACCACTCGCCCTATATGGTGCGGGACGGCCGGACTACTTGGTAGGATATTGCCACTACTGTTAGGTTGATAGCGGACAGTGCGAGGAGGTACGGGGTGCGGAGGATTTCCCCACACCCTTCCGAGACTTCATGGAGACCTTGTGGACCCGGCTCATGACTCATAGTTTTAGCCACCCCAGACTAGACTTGGGGTGTACCAGGGCTGAATGGTAGAGTGGCATTATCCTAGGCTAGCAAATAGCCAGAATCAGCCCAGTTGACGACGGTCAGCGAGGAAGGCGGATCTTGTGGTTATATAAAACCTCTGTAGAGTGTATGGTTGATCGATCGATACATATGCCGACTTGTCGGCTATGGACCTTTCCTGGGTTTCGCTTAAACTAGATAGTGAGATGAGTCCTTCTCTTCTTTCCCCTGTGAGTGAGTGTTCGGTCGTAGCCAGGGGCTACGGGCCATGAGATAGTGCCAAGAGGGAGTTGGCCTATCGACTGAGCGATGGTATGGTGGTGATGTGGTGATGATGTGGAGATGGTGGTATATCGATCATAGGATCGAAACCTGGCTCTAGACAAAAATGGGGTGGAATGGGTGTCAGGATGGTGTTAAAACTTGACCAACTATTATTATATATATACTTGATTTGCTAAAACATAGGAAACCCCAGCCTTATAGGTTCCTTTTGAATATATCCAACTTGCATCTAATTTCTACA